TCTTTCAAGACATCCGCGGTTGTTTAGTTAAAGAGTGAAGCAGAATGAAGTGTTGAACAGAAACGTTGTCTGATTATATAATCATATGCGCGGGCCGCTAGAGTCTGTTGATCTCCAGATTAACAGCAGCATGAGAATAACCTGCCGAAAGTGCCGATGCTCCATGGCGGAGGCTCCTCTAGAAATTGCCGGGATTTGCGTTTTTACCCCCTTAATGTCTGACCAATGGTTGAACAGCATTTCCGAGCACATGACTTGTGTTTAAAGTTTATAGTCCGTTTGAGTTTTGCCCGAACGCAAACCAAACCTTCTGAAAAATGAAACAATGTAACAAACTGTGGTCTGGTGAGCACCAGAAAACGGACTATTAGGTGTGAATGCAGCCTTAGTCTCAAAGCACATTATAGTACAGTGTTTTAACAGAATATAAAAAAAACGTTGGACCCTCAATTAGATCGACAAAAACTAATATAACAACCTTTAAAAGACATTGATAGATGTAAGCGGCTCCAATGAGCAAAGTCAATAACATTCTGCATTCTGGGTGTATGTGAGTGAATGGATTACTGACCTGTTTGAGGAGGTGCACCAAACGTCCCAGAGTAGTGACCAAGGCGACGGAGAACCCAGTGAGGCCTTGTTGTGCTCTGTGGGGTTTCTGACTCTGTGCTGCAGGGGCTGCAGTGTCAGGACTCAGAGTGTCCAGGTCCGCCTCCACCTGACCCAGCATGGCCTGCAGCAGACCCAGGCTGGACTGGTCCCCGCTGAGGGAGGCCACAGAGGAACCATCCAGCCGTGAACTCTGGGACACACACTTCCTGTTCCTGCTGGGGCGACTGTCGGTCATGCCTGGAAGAAACATACAGAAAAACCACTCATTTATATCAGTTTATATGCTGGAACATTTACGGCACCTTTTTACAACGTGCACCTGTCGCTGGTCCTCTCCAACGGTCATATACAATGTTTTTGGGGTCGTTTCCAAATGAGCTTTTCTGCTGTTTAGGTATGAAAGAAACATTAGAATATAGCTTCCTGTTATTACCCGACTGGTTTAGATGCTCAGGGTTCAGGACTTGAGACACCAGCACTGACGGTTCCTCCCTGGCTTCCTCTGATTGGCTCCGTCTGGACCGGAAACGCTGAACAGCCACCGTGGCGTTGAGAGCTGAAACGAGGCGGGATACGTTTCTATGTGGACTATTTTTTTTTTACATACATTTTTAACAATTGCCCTTGTGTTTTCGTCCTACCTGCATGTCCTGGAGCTCTGTCTGAAGTGCAGGGGGTCACAGGAGCATTATCCTGGTCTGCCTGCTCAGAGTTGGGACGATGGGCTTTTTGTCGCTGTTTCCCTTTACCCCGAGACTCCGCCTTCATTTTACTTACATTGGACCTGTAAAGGAAATAATGACAAGCAATGAAGTGGTGTCAACAAGATCTAACATATTATATTTCCCCTCTACACAAATCAGTTTCATATCTCAGATTGCGTAATGTTCTGCAGGTATAAGCACCTTCTGATCACATGATACTCTGATCTGGAAGTGGGACCTGTTTCTTCATCGCTGTAGTCTTCCTCTGAAGCTTCAAATTCATTAAGAGCCTGGAAAAAAACATTATATACATGCAAACACATTAATATGGCCCGAAATCTTTACCCAGGAAGGCACAACTAGGGTGTTAAAAGACACAGAGTTGCATTACATTTATTTGTAAAAGAAAATGAAACATGAATAAATGAAAAACACACACATATGACATTATCTTGCCACACCTGTTGGTCCATCATAGACTGGCTGAGCAGGGACAGCTGGGTCGGAGGATCTGGTCTTTGAAGTACAGGAAGTCCTGAGTCAGGTCCGCAGTTTGGAGCCATCGTCACACTGGGATGACCTGAGGAAGTACACAAGCCTCAAGTAAAATCTCAGGAGGAAATACTGAAGAGAATGTACATGGAATGATCTGAGAAACACGTGAACCAGAGTCTGCGTGTTTCACACACTTAATACGTATCTTAAGCTACAACAGAGTGAATGGGAAGCTTTGTACCAGTCTGCCTGCGTGGAGCATCTCCAAACAAGTCTTTGACCACAGCCATGGCTCTGTCGGAGCGAGCCAGAACGTCCTGGAGCAGCAGCTGGTCTGAGAACACCTGCAGCAGTCAAACACACCACACACACATTAAGTAAGGGACGAAAGACACTAACAGGTAAACCCTCACCACACACACCTCCCTGATGATGTTGAGGCTGGCGTTGTCGAGCGGTGCCGGGCTCCCCACGTGTCTGAGACGCCGCTGTAGGGCTTTCTCTCTCAGATCCCACTGAGCCGCCACCTTGTTGTGGGACTTGTGGATCTCATGGCGATGGCTCTGTAGCAGAAGAGATCACACAGACGAGCAAATCAGGTTGGACATATGTGCAAATATGTACGGTTTGAGTACGATAATAATATGTTATAGACACACTAACTAGGCACACATTCGAACACCTTACCAGCTCTGCAGGAGATAGCTTGTGCACAGACAGGTCATTGACAGTGCTCTGAAAGAGAGAGGGCTGTCAGTACTTCATCACATTCAATACATGCATTGTGTAATTTCCCAGCAGATGTCTGTACTCACCACCCAGTCTCTTTTCGGAGGGGCTGACTTCTTGGGGGGGCGAACAGGCCTTTTTCCTTTGCTGTGTTGTTGTGGACGCCCAGCTCTCATAAACGACATCTGCTCACACACAATATGAAGATTAGCAGAGGTGTAAAGTAACTAAGTGCATTTACCCAAGTGCTGTTTTGAGGGACTTGTATCTTACTGCTTTATCTGCATAATGAGTACTTTAACTTTTGTAAGTACATTTACATATTTTGATGCTAATATTTGTCTACTTGAGTTACATTTTGATTGCAGGACTTTTCGTGTCCTACACTCTGGTACTTCTACCTTTACCTAAGTAAAACATCTGAGTACTTCTTCCACCTCTGAAGATTAGTCCTTCACATAGTAGACGTGTACACACTTAGCTTAATACATAGCACATGTGACTAGCTGCAGATCTGTGTTCATCAGTAACAGTTAGCTATCTGTTTACACAGGTTCTCCACACGAAGCTTTCCTCACTTTTAGCTGATAATTTCATACAAAGCTAGCCAAACATTGAAACAACACTTACGTTTGACGATACGAAGCCACTGTTAGTCGTATTTAAGGAGCTTTAGGTTGCGTATAACTTTACAACAACACTAAACTCTGAACAGCATCAAACTATCCACGGTTGGTTTTGTGACAGTTTTTCAACAGTGCGCGCCACTTCCTGTTGCTACGGACACCGCTTCAGGACAGAGCATTGTGGGTAATGTAGTTTGGTTGAGCCAGTAGGATAAGCGATTGAAGAGGAATCCAGTAAGTATAGAAAATAAAAGTATACATCATGCAGCAAAACAGACACAGTAAGTGTAGCATTAATAAGTGTTATATTATGTGGTTATTATTACTAATACACAACGTTTAGTCAGCATTTTAATGTTGTAGCTAGCTGTTTGAGTGGTGCTAACTGCTTTAAATGTTGCTAAAAAGAATTTAATTCCACAGTGTAAAAAAGGCAATTAAAGTAGATTTATTTTCCTGCAATTAGACTTATTATTAGCAAAATATATCAGAAGTGAAACCCTATAAAGTAGAATGAGCCTGCCTGTGTGTTATTATTATCCTATACCTTTTATTAATGTATTTATTTACTTTTTTAAAGTTGTTGATAAGAGATATTAGATTAGTTAGTTATCAAAGAAGAAGAACAAAATGCAAATACTCAAGTAAAGTAAAATTATCTGACATTAATACTCAAGTTTCCTCCAAAATAATTTAATATATACATTAACCCACTCGGTACTAATATTGTTTAAATATATAGTCATGATTATATTGGAACACCTAGCAATTATATACTTAATGTGTTGGTATCAAGTTTATCTGATGTTAGGAGATGTTTGCAAAGGGGTGAGTAACTGGAAACTCCACTAGGTGGCGATGTCACCAAGTAAGTCCCTGTTAGTGAGGACAGAGGAGGGAAACCTTCGGAAGCAAAGTTTAACTGTAAAAACTCTCAGCGGTTTTCCACCATGAGAAAACTAACCAACAAAACTCAAACCAAAGTAAGCCTGGTGAGCTTTAAAGGAACTTTGAGGCATGTGTTTCAAGAAAATCTCGGATGAAGTCATGAGAGAAGCAGCTTCAAATGAACATTAACAAGCAACCGGAAATGAAGTAAGTAAAATAAAAGCACAACATAGCGATACAAAAAGTGGTTAATTGCAAGGTTTAGCTTGAAGAAGAAGGGCATGCATGGACAGGGACAAATACATGTGATTAGCAGCTAATTCATTCATAATTGATAGCTATTGTAGCCAGAATAAAACATTCAGAAGCAGATCTGAAAGTAGAAAAAAAGATCCAACAATTCTTAGCTTGATAGAAATTATTGTTCTAAAACAAGTTGAATACATGAGTATTTTAAATCATCTAACTTTACTCAAGTAGCCTATAAAGTTGCAACAAGCACATTTATTAGGCTTTTATTTTATAGGTGTCTACCGGAAGTATTATTTTACTCATGCATCTTAACACTGGTAGTTCCTAGGATGAGTAACTTGATGAAAGAGGTTGTGTATTGGCGTCTGGCTTCCTCCACACCCCTCTCACTCTGACGCACAGTTGGATAGTCTCTGCGCGCTTTAGTTCAACCGGGCTACACTGACCCAGACCAGACTGGCTCTCTTCTGACGCCCAACAATGCGGACTGAGCCACACAAGTTTGGAAATCTTGTCGTTACGCAAGGGGTTTGGCGGTGAGGGGTCTAAGGGGTGACAGCGGCATGGATCAGGCTACAAGTGTTGGATTCTCTGCATCCCTGTGGAAAGCCATTTGAAAAGTTTGGAGACATGAGCAGCCTCTCGGTGCCAGAGATCATTTAGCCTCTCCAAGCTGGATTCTAGCAAGACAACTGGAGTATTACTTAAGCTAAGAGCATCTTTAATGTAATTTCCCATCGTGTTTTTGTTTTCTACAACTCTTGGATAATCACCCACACTGCAGACCCACTTTTGGAGACGTTGGATCTAAATTTACGCACATTTTACGCACGGGATTCCTCTAACAAATGACAGCTTCTAAGAGGTTTATTCCTCCCTCACATCATCCCCACTTCTCCCTGTATTGCACCGACCCCCCATATCTCTCCCCTCACCGGGTTACACGCGGGGAGTGAAAGCCTCTCTGTCTCTTTCTGTGCGCAACAGCGTGCGTCCTGAGGATGAGGAGGGGAAGTTTCCCGATGTCTGCCACCGCGATTCTGACCCTACTCCTGGTTATTATCGACGTGAAAGCCAGCGGGGAGTATTGCCACGGCTGGCACGACTCCGAAGGCGCGTGGAAGGAAGGGTTCCAGTGTCCGGAGAAGATCGATGCACAGGATGCTATCATCTGCTGCGGGAAATGTGAGCTTCGCTACTGCTGCTCCAGCACCGACGCGCGGCTGGATCAGGGGAGCTGTGACAACGACCGGCAGGCTGTGGAGCCCGGGCCCGGGTCTAAGGAGGACAAGGACAACGCTGCAGGTATTTATCCATAACTTCTACTGTTTCAGCAACTTCTACCATGATCAGAGGTGGGAGAAGTACTCTGATCTTGTACTTAAGAAAAAGTAGAAGTAGTAGTAGAAGTAGTTGAGTATGAATACTCTGTTACAAGTAAAAGTCCTGCATTCAAAATGTTACTCAAGTAAAAGTCGAAAAGTAATGGCATTCAAATATAGTTAAAGTACCAAAAGTAAAATTAATCATTGTGCAGCTTGGTCCATTTCAGAATAATATAATATATGATATGTTTTATAATTATTGATCATTAAAGTGTTCTCAGAGCTGGTAAAGTTGCAGCTAGTTTGAATGACTTTGTATACTGCAGGGTAGCTGGTGTTAAAAAAACACAATCCAAAAGACACTACAAAAGAGAGATTAACATAAAAGAATGTTGCTTAAAATATGTAATTGGGAGGATTAGGAGTGGGTATTGGCACTTTAAAAGCCCACTAATCCTTATATACATAACCCTTACAGACTGTCTTCACTGTGATTTATGTCAGTAGCACTGAGACTGATTGAGCTGTTGCTTCAGCCCAGGGGTGAGTGGAGTGTTAATCTTATGGAATCAAGTTGGTGCCATTAAGATCAAGCAACACTTCTTCAGTATCACGCAAAAATAAGAGTTTGAGAGAAAAAATATAACTCAAGAAAATGTCATCTCATAAGTAAAACGTATAACTTGTAAACAAATCACTATTTAATCTCAGCAAAACCTTTGTTTTATTCCAAAAAGAATGAAGTTGGAAGTGAGTCAGCTGATAGTAAATGACTGCAATGACTGATATTGTACATTTCAGACCTATTGGGTTTCCCTTCATGAAGCCAACTGTCCCTCAGTGTCTCCCCCGTTAAAAGGCTCATCTGCTGCCGTCCTGACAGCTGCACAGGAGACAGCAGCAGACTGCTCCAAAAAAAAACAGTTAAACTGCACTCACAAATGGCAAACTGCGCCGGGCTGCACTTATAAATAGCTGTGTTTGTTCTGGTCTGAAACAGTGCAAGAGGGGCTGGGCTCGGACCCCTCCGTCCCCACGGGGATCAAGTTTGGACTTGACCGGATCTTGGACAGTGGTTCATCAGAGGCGCTGACAGCTCCGCTCATAAAAAACATAAATCACGTTATGTATCATTTCCTTCCAGGATCGAGGAGTCCCTCTGCACACACACACACACACACACACACACACACACACACACACACACACACACACACAAACACAGCATACTCTCTGGGGTCTGTGGGATTTTCCGCACTTCACACCTGCTTCAGACAAGACACGGTAGTGGGAGAAGTATTCACATGCTTAACTTGAAAATATTTAAATAATTTGACTATTTTTGTGACAAAAAGATTTAGTGTACTAGTTACATTTTTAGAGATCCATTTTGTTAAAAGTAGCTAAAGATGTTGAACAAATGAAGCGGAGTAAAATTACATTATGTCCATTTTTAAATGTAGTGGAGAAGAAGTAAAAAGTAGCATAGAAACGAAATACTTATATAAAGTAGTACCTCAAAATTGTACTTGAGTAAATGTACTTGGTTACTTCCCACCTCTGAAATTGAGCATATATTTTTCCACTTACTCAGTGTTTTAGGTAAAAATGCTTCCTCCCAATTCCTCCTGCGTAAATTCCCACAAGTTAATCTCCCATGAAGCCTCTGGAAGCTGCATCATATCTTGAATAAAAGATCAACAAAAAGATTTAAAAAAAGAGCAAATCAGAGCGACAGAGACCCAGGCCTGCTTCGTGTTTCCCTGGAGGATATCAGGCCCTCTTATGGACCTCCAGCTATAATCTGTCATTTGCTGTGACAATCGGGCCTTATCAGTGCAGGAAGAGGTATATACATTTCCTCCAGTGGCCTGCAGCCAAAATAACTTAAAGACAAGCAGCTTTTTTCCTCACAAAAAACAAAATTTCATAGGCTATTAATCATCCGGGAAAGATACACAGTGAAACGTCTACGGATAACAGACAGGAAATTATTAATGTGCTCAACATGAAGGAACATATGGTGTTCAGGAACAGGAGAACGCCCGTGGGATATCCGAGGGAGAGTCCGGCCACAAAGACTGTGCCCAAAACAAGAGCTTAAGAAGGGGGGAAGGGGGGGGGTTAGCGAGCCATGGCTGCCACAGCTCAACTGCAGCGACAGGTGTGGAGGAGTGACAGGGAACAATAGCCGGGTTTAACTACTGTGGGCACAGAATGAGAACATCACACATTAGCGAGAGCCGAGGAAATACAAGCCTTTTTTTAAAGTTGGAACAGTTGTCTTGGTTCACTCAGTGCACTCTGAGCGGTGTGAAGAACATTTACTGAGCGTACTGTTTTAAACTTGGCATTGTATGCTGCTTTATACTTCTTTACAAATTCAAGTTTACTATGCTACAATTCTTTGAAAGCTAGTTAGTATTTACATAAAAACACGATAGGCTAAAAGCTTATAAAGAGCAATACATTGTTACATATCAAAGAGGCCCGATTATGCTTTTGGGGGTTTCCCAACAGTGTGTTTTAGTATAGGTTTTAGTGCATGTAAATGGTCTGCAAAGGCTAAAATCCTTGAGGGAGTTTCTTTTCCCAGCATACTTAAACTCACAACAGGGTAAAAGTACACACATTGGGTTTTAAATTAGGTTTTGAACCTTGTCAGCGGCACGGCTCTCTGGACCAGATTTCTCAAAAGGATTATTTTAATGTCGTTTGTCCACCTCATCATAAAATGAGATGCAATAAGTCTCCATGTAGTTTCTTAATTAAACATTTTAATATGTGCATTGCTCTGATTTCAATCCAAACATCTGCAATTCCCACTTCTTTCCTTGTTCCCAGATTCATCTCGTGACCCTTATGATCCGTCTAATGATTCATTTGATTTTTTAAGCTTTCAGTCATAGATGTTACTTGTAATAGGAGTTCTGTATTGGAGCACTCTGTTTGCTTGACTCTAAGCAGCCCTCTTCCTCCCCCTGCAACCCTGATTTACCGTACAGAGTTTTGGAAAGGAGCTCTGCTGTTAAAAGTAGGGATGAAGTGAAAGTTTTTGTGATTAGTAATCCTCAGCAGCCATGGAAGCAGAGGTGCAGACCATATAAGTGCAGGGGAAGAAGGCAGACATTACTGCGCTTTTAAAGAGTCCTCTCCTGCTGATGTTCAGGTGTATATCAGTATGTAGTGTCTCTACATGTCTCCATGCTTCAATGTTCAAAAAGCTCTTTATACCTCTCATACTGCCTGTGCTGCAGCACATCTTTTCACCCTCTGTCTGAAACCAGAGCCCAGTCTGCTCTGATTGGTTAGCTGGCCGGCTCTGTTGTGATTGGTCAACCGCTTAGAGATGTCCCACCCCTTTAAAACCTGTCACGTACAATGTGTTGGAGCGTTAGCCAATAGCAGTGATGTTACTCTGATCTGGAGCTCTGAGATTGTAGCCTTTGCAGACCATTTACATGCACTAAAACCTACTGTATATAACACACTACAGGGAAGGGAGAACCACCACTGCCTCTTTAATTTAAACATATGTAGCCATGACAGAGTTCCTGTTAAGACGTGTTTATTATATCTGTGAGGCGCATTAACCTCTGAAGTGAGCAGTGCTCCTTGTTAAAAGGAAAAGGCTCGAGGTCCTGGTTTGTCTCATGTCCCAGAGTGCTGCTGGCCTGTGTCTTTTGTCACCTGGACTTACCGCCTGAGCCCTTGAATGTCCCCGAGCTCTTCACAGGTTTCCCGCAGTAATCCCTTTAATACCCCGCTACTTTTGATGAGCATTTCGAAACGTTTCTCAAGGCCGCCTGGATGTATTTCAAAGAGACAAAGGGAAACCGGAGCCAGTTGCCACCTCTCTTTCTTCGGCTTACAGTTACACCTCATAACACATAGGCACATTCAGAGTGGAAAATAACTACACCCTATGGGAACAATAAAACAAAACTAATCAATTATACTGTAACATGGTCGTTATTGTGTTTGTAAGGTGTGTGCATGGGAATAAGGAAAGTGACGTCACCCTGTTTCGGCCAGAAAACGCTTCACAGTGCAGCCAAGAGGTGAAAGGAGAAGGAAAACTGTGATTTATTCGTAAGGAGAGTTATTGTTGATCATGTTTCAAGGTGGAGCTTCTCCGGCTCACTTAGCCAATTTGCAGACATTTAACGGGAACCGGAGATCTTAACACATAAAGATGTCGAGATGTGTAACTGTTGTAGTAATGCCTCAGCTATTTGACCCAGCGAAGCAGACTGATTGGTGAGGACTGTCTTACCAGTCTGATTTGCTATTTTAAACAAAAAGTCAGTGAGATGAAATTGGCTTAGCCCTTTGATTTAAAAGGTCTGAATGAGCTCCCATGCAGCTACATTAAATCAGCCTTAATACCTTTATGTAAGCTGGAGCCAAGGACTGTAGTTCAACCTATCTTCAAAGGTTCGCTCAGAAATAGACTGAGAAAAAAAAGGAGGGTCACAAATATTTGCTGGCAGCCGGGCTTAAGAATGTCATATACACACACACACACACACACACACACACACACACACACACACACAGGTCTGCAGGGTCGCGGCTGGGGACACAGCAGGGTGCTCAGGATTAAAACAGATCAAAACAAAGTTAATAACTGCTAACGAGAGCCCGGGACACCCTGGGGACTCGGTCCCTGTGCAAGACCGAGTCCAAACACTCCTCTCTGCTCACTCTTTTGTTTCACTGTCTCACCAAATCTGCCCTCACATGTAAGGAGCTTTGCTTGTGCAGGGAAGCAAGACAAGTGTGTGTGGTGCTTTGAAGTTTAGATAGATTTAAAAATGACTTGGACAATTTGGACAATTGTGGTGTGGTTTTTTACGTATCATTTCGAACATTTTCAGGATCAAAAATGGCAGTTTTTAGTTTAAACTTTGAAATCGTCCCAAAATGCATTAGCCCAACGGGAGTAGAAATGTGGCCAGTAAATAAGAACGGCCATTTTTGATCCTGTACATGTCAGAAATGGATGGTGAACCACCAAAACCACTCAGAGATCATCCAAATCGGCCAAGCCACATTAGTCTGCATGTTAATTAATGGCACTTATGCTAATTGTGCAAATTGCCCAACATATGCAAAGAAACATCCGGCAGTTTCTCTGTGCTGGGAGTGGGGACACTACTATACATTTCTATCATGAAACTTTGGTGTGCTCAACATTTCCGGGTTCACAACAGGACTCTGAGCTGACAAACAGACTATACTTTAAAATATGACTTCCATATTTGAACGTGTCCTCTCTTCTCCCTGCAGTGCCCATCTACGTGCCGTTCCTGATCGTGGGCTCCGTGTTCGTGGCGTTCATCCTGGTGGGCTCCGTGGTGGCCGTGTGCTGCTGCCGCTGCCTGCGCCCCAAACAGGAGCTCTCATCAGGCGGAGCATCAGGGGGGGGGTCCGGCGGTGGGGGGCGCCTCCTGGAAACCATCCCTATGATGTCCAGCGCCGGGACCTCTAGGGGTTCCTCGTCCCGTCAGTCCAGCACAGCCACGTCCTCCAGCTCCTCTGCCCCCCCCACCGCCCCCCGACAGAATCCCCCTCAGATGATGAGGGCCCAGGCCTCCTGCTGCCTCCCCCCCGACGCCAGCGTCTTCGTCAACATGCCCACCAACTACTCCATGCTCAACTGCCAGCAGGCCACGCAGATCATGCCCCACCAGGGACAGTTTCTGCACCCGCAGTACATCGGGTACGCCCACCCGGCCGCCACCTTCATGGACCCAACTCAGGGGGGGTACAGACCCCTGCAGTCCCCATGCCCCCCTCCCAACATGGGGTGTATTGTCAATGACCAGAAATACCCTGCAGTGACTGTGTGACGAGACTGCAGACCACTTTGTTGTGAAGTTGAACCTGTGAGGGGGGGCCGCGCCAGAGACTTTTACAGTGGAAAAGAAACTGAAGGACTGGTGAAGCTGTTGCTGGCTGCAGGCCCGCCTCTCCATTGTGTGTTTTGTGTGTCTGTTTAGTGTCATGTGATCTCCTGACTAAGATGATGGATGCATAGACAATTTTCTGTCTCGATGCAAAGACAAAACTGCATAAAGGAGGATTTACAGCCCAGGTGGGGGACCGTGCACGGCTCACTCAAATAAATCTGTGCGAGAGTGAGAGTGGGAATGAGTGATGACTGGATGATTTATAGCAGCGAAATGAATGAAAAGTGGATATAGGAGTAGAAACAAAACAAAGTTATGACCACATGCTGTTTTCATGCCATCTGCACTTGTGAACGGCTCATACGTGCAGTGTGTTTGTTTGTGTTGAACGTGTGCAGAGATGATTGTACTGTATGTGTGAGTTAGTGGGAAGTGTAGAGGGATGTGGTCGTGTGAGTAACTGTGAGTGAACTGTGTGTAATGGGAAATGCAGGTGGTGTAATGTGAAAGGCAGTCGCCGTCTCCCTGCAGACCCTTTCAAATGTAATGAAGTGAACACAGGACGCAGACTGTAACGCTCCACCCTGCCATACAACCCCCCCTAAATAAAACCCCAAAAACCGGAGCGGAAACACGGACAATTTAAATATCCAGCCAAGACTCACAGTTAATGTACCTTAAAAGTGAGAGGCAGGTTAATTATACATCGCAAACGGCCCTCTTCACTACTCAGAGGTGTGTGTGTGTGTGTGTGTGTGTGTGTGTGTGTGTGTGTGTGTGTGTGTGTGTGTGTGTGTGTGTGTGTGTGTGTGTGTGTGTGTGTGTGTGTGTGTGTGTGTGCGCGCATCTGTATTTAACACTGCCACAGTTCAGTGCGTTAGCCGAGGGCAAGGGCAGCTCTGACTCATTATTTCCCACTTAAGAAACAGCACAGAAATGGCACGTTTTGGGCTTTTTAATCCAAGAAAAATAAGTCTGTTTTCCTCTGTTGTGCAGCTAACAGGTCATTCAGTAACATGCAACTTGAGGAATGTGCTGCTCCACTGAGCTGCAGCCTGAGATGTCCCAAAGTACTGAAACTGTGTGTGTACGGCCGAGCACAAAGTCTGTAACTCACTACCGACAGATGTATGAAAAGTGGTCCATTTTGATGTCATTTTTCATATGAATTCAAAAAAATAAACAACTTTTAAACAGAAACCAGTGTGTTGAGCGCTAATGTGTTTCACCTACAGGCGTAAGCATAGCCTATATCAGGGAAGGCTTTGTTTGGAGTACATGAGATTTACATACACACACTTGGTTAACAAAGAGACACATCTGTGAGGTGAACGGATTTTACACAAAGAACTGTCTCACACTCTTAATCCTCTTGAAACACAAACAACTTCATGGTTAAGCTATCAGAAACACTCATTACGCACATTCACACACAGCTCTACCACCCACAGTGGATACCTGTCCATCACAAAGAGAGGAGGAGGAACAATAAAACACAACAATGGCCGCTTTTAAAGCTACGACCCTGAGGAGGTGCAGCTCTGGGAGCCTCCTGCAGGATAATGTGGAAAGTGGAGTCACAGGGGAGGAGTTGTAAAGCAGAAACGGCTCGATGGATTCTCCATACGGGAGCAGCTGTAACAGTTTGGGCTGGGCCTCGTCCAGGAAGGTGGGTGGGAAAGAAGGGGGGGGTATTAATCGTCTAACGCTCTGTCTGCGGTGACTCTCAGGAGCTTTGAGACGGAGCGTGGGACAGGCTTGAAATCAAACGCATATCATGTCAAATCAAGCCTTTTCTCCCTCTAACTGGCTAGTCTACTTGCCGGCATTGTACCACAAAGTTTGATGTTAGAAATGTATAGTAGGGGTCCCCAGCACATAGAAACTGCCTGATGCTAACTTGCATATTTTGGACAATTTGCACAATTAGCAGATACAGTTGCGCTAATTAGATTTAAATTGCATTATAGCCTATGCAGTTAAAAATGGCTTGGCCGATTTGGTAAATTTTAGTGTGGTTTTGGGGCTTATTGAGGATGCTGGGTCAATTTCTGACATTTTCAGGGTACAGAAATGGAAGTTTTAACCAGAAAGTGTCTATATCTGCACTCTCGGTGGGATTATGAGTAGTGTTGCAACCATTGGATATTGAGAGCACAAGATGAAAAGTATAACCTCAACTGTGGACAATTTTTCTGCCCAACATTTGCAGGTTAGCATCCGGTAGTTTCTATATGCTGGGGACCCGTATACATTTCTAACATGAAACTTTGGTGTACTCAACATTTCTGAGTTCACAATAGGAGTCTGAGCTGCAAACTTTATGAAGCCAGAGTCTGAAGAAAAACACACACCTGATCACATGACAGCGTACAGTGAAGACACGGAGACATTGGTTCAGGCCATGGATTGATTAGATTTAATGATTAGGACTTGGATGGACAACCCCCTTCTCCCACCCTTCACTCTTTCTCACTTGCATTCCTGAATCAGTGTGCACACACACACACACACACACACACACACACACACACACACACACACACACACACACACACACACACACACACACACACTACATTAACACCACGCTGGCTCTTGAGATGATCAACGGAGTCGTGATGGGCCTCAGCCAGCCTTCCCAACGTTAGGATTGGGAAATTCCTCGTACTGTATGTGACTGTTGGGAACGATCTCTAAATAAAAAAAACCAGCAGAGCGGCTCTGAAGTTTCCTATAGAAGTTTTAAATGTCTGCTAGATAGATGACAGTGCTGAGTGGATGATAACACAATAAATGGTGCAGGACGAGCAGATGAAAGGCTCATGCTTCAGTTCTTTAATGTTCCTTTGTGATATAAAAAAGCCCAGGGATGTGCTCCGTCTGAGCTCTCCCCTCGAGACGCTCTCCCTACCTTTCCCATGTCTACCAACTACAAACACAGATGTGCTTTTTCCCCCTTTCTGCTCCATTGCTTTGGAGAGGACCCATTTATTTTTTCCCCCCTGGGTTTTACAAGCAGGGTTAGTCGGGGACGGGGCCTTGTGTGGGGCAGCAGTTTGGTTACCTTGAAAACACACCGCATGCTAAACCGGCTCTGAGAGAGAAGCTTACTCTGTGACTCACTACCAGCTGCATCTTTATTATAATGAGTCATATTAGCAGAATATTATATAAAAAAAAAAAATCCTTTTTGGCAAACTGTGGTGGAGAAAGTACTCAGATGCTTGATTTAATACAAGTATTCGTATCACAGTGCAAAAATACTTACTTTTTCATTAAAAAAATGTATGTAACTTTTAATCAAAATTGTATTTTTTAGGAGACTTTCGTCTAACTCTATTGACACAACACGACTACATCACACGGAGAGAAACACAAACACATCCAGAAACACACCAGGTCTGTACAGCAGCTCACATTGAGCCACCTGTGATCCACAGATGAAGGAATGGAGGAGAAATGGAAATAAGCAGAGAAATGAAATGTAAAAATGAAACCGAGGATAAAGGGGAAGGAGTGATTTAATGAAAGGTCAACAGAGGGAGGTGTGAACTCATTTAGTGGGGAAACAGGTGAAGGTCACTCCAGAGCCGTTTGAGGTCACACAGTAAACCCAAAAACTACCTCTGTGATCATGTGACAGCTGGGGCTCTACGGGACCTCAGCCTTGGCTTCGGCCCTGTGGACGACGCCACCGGGGAGTTAGAAATATATTTAGTTCCACAAACATACCTGCTATGGTGACTTTATTGGGTCCATATATACAATTTAATGCAACACGATACAGAAGTTCTGCCACATATTATCCTTAAAGAGGCTTATTATGACCTTTTTGGTATTAAATGTGTTAAAGAGGACCTATTCTGCTGATGTTCAGGTGTATATCAGTATGTAGTGTCTCTACTTTAAAGGTTTTCTCTCCTGCTGATGTTCAGGTGTATATCAGTATGTAGTGTCTCTACTTTAAAGAGTCCTCTCCTGCTGATGTTCAGGTGTATATCAGTATGTAGTGTCTCTACTGTGACATGTCTCCATGCTTTAATGTCCAAAAAGCTCTGGTCTGCTCTGTTGTGATTGGTCAACCGCTTAGAGATGTCCCGCCCCTTAGCCTATCACGTACAATAGCATAATAGAGAAACTCCATCTGGAGGGAACACCAGGATTTGAGCCCTTGCAGACCATTTACATGCACTAAAACCTATATAAGGAAAGGGAAACCCCCCAAAAGCAACATAGGGGCCTCTTTAAATGAACACCTCTCTGACAGAGTCAACCAAAACGTTATTAAATCTTTGTAAAGATAACATGTCTTACTGTGCTGCTGTATTGAGTTGCATCAAATGTTACAGTCGTACCCAACATAGTGGCCTCAGTGCTAATATAAAAACATAATGGCTAACACATGGATTAAAACACCTTGAAATAAATCATAAAAAATATGATGTAGGTGTGATCCCGTGATGCTCTTCAGCACTGTGCATACCTGCGCCCGCTGGCGTCCCGCAGCACGGCGGCCCCCGGGTCCACAGCCCGGGCCTCCAGCTCCTGCACCTCCTCCAGCAGAGACTTCCTCACCGTGCGCCGGGTGCTGAGAGCAGGAAGAAGCCCGTCAGACATCATGCAGGAAACTTTGAGTGCTACTTTGCCGACACGTGTGATTCATAACATAAAGTGCGCGCGAGTGTTGACACAGACTCAATATGGGTTATGTAAACGCCTCGCTTCAGCTAAATAGCCTCAGTATGGATTTCCCACGTATTTATATTAAATGTGTTCTACTTACGCGATCCAGGCGAAGTCTTTGAGTAAACACGCAGCCGGCACCAGGATCAGACCCAGCCAGAAGTACCAGCACTGCATCACCTTGCCAGCCTGCAGGGACAACACACAGGCTCCTTTATTTCACTCGCATATTCATTCAGATCCAGTATCGAGTCATTTTTCAAACATGTGGAAACGGCAAAGAGGAGACAAAGCACATTGAGAGCCTTTCAGAGCGTTGAGTACTTCAGACGTTAGCTTAGCATATTTACAGCTTCTTCACACACCAAATGCTGGAATTAGGAGATGAAATAGTAAAAATGCTCTGACTCTGCAGTTCATCCTTATCGACCTCTGACCCCCTCCTCAGTGTGTCTCCAGGCATTAATCGTGCATCTAACCGGCAGGGCTCGAGCTTAAGGACGTCCCGTCGTCCCGGGGCCGAAAAAAATAGTGTCAGGGAGGATAAAAAATAATTTATTTTTTATCCTCCCTGACACTATTTTTTTCGGCCCCGGGACGACGGGACGTCCTTAAGCTCGAGCCCTGCCGGTTAGATGCACGATTAATGCCTGGNCAGGGAGCCACAGGAGAAAGGAGTGAGTAGGAGTGAGAGTCATGGCAGATGGGCAAATTGAGACAGTGGTTAGATCAGGGCTCTCGACTAACTTTTTTCACCATCCTCCCGGAACCGTCCCGAAATACAATCTAAGCCGTCCCGAAATTAAGATTGTATTTCGGGACGGTTCCGGGAGGATGGTGAAAAAAGTTAGTCGAGAGCCCTGATCTAACCACTGTCTCAATTTGCCNTCAGGTGTATATCAGTATGTAGTGTCTCTACTTTAAAGAGTCCTCTCCTGCTGATGTTCAGGTGTATATCAGTATGTAGTGTTTCTACTTTAAAGAGCCCTCTCCTGCTCAGGTGTATATCAGTATGTAGTGTCTCTACTTTAAAGAGTCCTCTCCTGCTGATGTTCAGGTGTATATCAGTATGTAGTGTCTCTACTTTAAAGAGTCCTCTCCTGCTGATGTTCAGGTGTATATCAGTATGTAGTGTCTCTACTTTAAAGAGTCCTCTCCTGCTGATGTTCAGGTGTATATCAGTATGTAGTGTCTCTACTTTAAAGAGTCCTCTCCTGCTGATGTTCAGGTGTATATCAGTATGTAGTGTCTCTACTTTAAAGAGTCCTCTCCTGCTGATGTTCAGGTGTATATCAGTATGTAGTGTCTCTACTTTAAAGAGTCCTCTCCTCATACTTGTCAACCCTCCCGATTTCACTGCCCTCTCCCGGTTTCCTCCCGGGGTCATATTTCTCCCGCATTTCTCCCGATTTCTGACAAAATCAGATTTACTCAGGACTGTTTCCACTCGGACTTTAATACAGCTACACTATTGTTTGGTTTCCATGGTAGCGCGGCTCTTTAGTAGCGCGCAACTGAAAGTCTGAGAGGGTGAGGAAGATAGTCACAAGAATCGACCACTCCACCCTCTGCTCACTCCTTTCCTGTCAAATACAGGTCCAGCCCACACATATGCTCCATCAAGTATGGTGCTACAGGCTGCAAGACAGTGCACTTACAACTACAATAAGCATGTTAATGTTAATCTAATACAGCTCTGGCGAACCACTAGCACCGATATATATTTATATATATATATATATATATATATTTATATATATATATATCACACACTACAGGAAAGGGAAAAACCACAGAAAGAATAGCAGGGCCTCTTTAAAGCAGCAGCAGCCATGACTGCGACAGAGTGGCAGGATGGACAGGATGGCGCTGACACTTTTGTCCGCTCAGCTGTCCACACAACAGCCTGGCAGTAATGAAGCAGGTCTCACAGGAATTCACAGTGTCGCCTTTCAGCAGATCAGAGTAGGAAGACATGGGGAGAAGTGAGGGAGAGGTTGTGTATATCCGGATGAAACTATCTGACCTACGATGTATTCCTTAATCTCCTTCCTCTTTTGCAGTTTTCCCACCTGGCGGTATGGGGAAGCATGGTGCTCTGGATGGTCTTCTTCGCCGTCTACTCCGCCATCTGGCCCTCCATCCCCATCGCCCCCGACATGCTGGGCCAGGCAAGTCTCTCTCCATAAACATGTGTCAGTCATTTCAGTAACAGGGGGTGACGGGGTTAAAATAGCCCTTTCCTCTACATCAGGGGGGTCAAATATACGGGGGATGAATTTGCAAAGTGTAGAAATGACAGAGAAGACATGAACTGCAATTTCCACAACTTTCATGTGTTTTATGTGGACATTTGATACAATTACACAACAAGGGGATAACTTCTTCCTTAATAGTTCCCACTTTAGTTTGTATGGTGGTGTGTCAGGATTACTACACAGATGTGAAAAGTTATTCTGCTATGATTGTTCTGTTCGCGCCCCCTTAAGATCACATTTGTGTGTATGTGGCCCCTGAACTAAAAGCAGTTTGACGCCCCTGCCTCACCTGCCCCTCCCTTGTTCTCGTTGGCACTCCATGGCGCCTACGAGACTCTCCTCCTGGGTGTTCTGTGGAGCCCCGGGGGAGATTTACGCCTCACCCACCCCTCGCTCCAGGCTTCCTGCACCTGCTGCGTGTCACCCGAACCCCTGATTTTTACTGCCCTCTGCGGAGGTGTTGACTCAAGAGCTGGTGATGAGGATCCAGTGGGGGGTGCGGGTGCCGAGACCCCTTGATTGAGAGACTCATTTGAGAGTTTCGGGGGTGAGGCGAGGTGCCCTGCTGAGTCGTGGGAGGGGGAGAGAACAGGGCCGTCTAAACTCCCCCCAGCCCCATTAATTCAATTTGTGTCAGAAATCAGGAATGCGGTGGAATATCTGTGCAGCTGCTCAGACTGACTGGGGAATGGTCAGAGACACTCAACCCCCCTCAACCCAACATTTCCTCCACCCCTAACTACCCCATTACCTCTCTTATTTCCCCCTGCTCCCGCTATCTATATTTCCATCTGTTCATGGGGGACAGGGTTTGAAAAAGAGACGTATATTTCTGCGTGCGTGTGTGTGTGGAATAATGTGATTTGTGTTGATTGTAAAGCGGTTGAGACCAACAGCATTCCTCCATCCTCGGGCTTCGTAAAGATGATGTGATATGGTGTGTTAAAATGGATGTGTGTGTTTGTCACACAGAAAGTGGATCATCTGTGACTTGCTTGTGATTCCAGCTGTTTCGCAGGATATTCATAACATAGGCAAAAAAATAGGCACATTTTCCCCGTCTCTTCTCTTTCTGGAAACTAAATTGTCTCTACATATCTGGACCCAAGCACGAGACACAGGGGAAAACACAATAATATACTAGTTCAATTCAATACATATGCAGACAATCAGGGAAACAGACAATCGGAGACAAGATGATGTAGCCCATAACGAAAATAACCCTCCTCTTAGTCATCCAGTTTCAACGTTTTTGATCAGGGACCCAAATATGACGGTGTTTCAACTGCAAAATTAGGAGGAGGGTTTCCATGTGTGTATCTCTATAAATACAGACATATACATATATATATACACACATATGTATGTACACATGTGTGTGTATATATATACGCATACTTCAGGTTTCAAGGTAGGATTGAAAAAAGTCAATTCCAGGACAAGAAGAAAATAAAATACCAAAAGAAAGTTAAAAAAATGCATCCAAGTCCATGTTCAGATTACAATACGGTTTAATTTCTCATTCTATCTTTAAATCGAATTTCCTTTTTTTCGGGGAGGGGGGTTATGGGGCATTTAGTGCCTTAAACGTAACCGCCCTGAGACAAAGACACAGAGCTCCTGCAGATAACTGAAGGATAATACATGAGAAATGGAGGGATTAACAGTAACAGGCGGGGACAGGCAGCAGGAGATACCTCACTAATAATGAAAGGAGGTTGTGAAAGAGTGAGATTACAGGGAGCCACAGGAGAAAGGAGTGAGTAGGAGTGAGAGTCATGGCAGATGGGCAAATTGAGACAGTGGTTAGATACACACTGAGGAGGGGGTCAGAGGTCGATAAGGATGGACTGCAGAGTCAGAGCATTTTTACTATTTCATCTCCTAATTCCAGCATTTGGTGTGTGAAGAAGC